TCCCTGTGGCATAGTCATTGAGTGGCACCATGCGACAATAGAGGGTCTGCTGCAGAGCTTGGTGGACATGCATGATGATATTCGAATCCAAGCCATCGTCACATGTGCTACAGCTGCTTTAGGACGGCCCCGGATTGCCATCAGCCAGGGGGACTCAGGTGAGAGCCAGACTGGACTACTTGAGAATACTATGAACACACTTCCCCCACTATCTGAAAACAGTGTTCCTATGAAACCCTTTGTAAGCTGAAGTGGCGTAAAGCAGAGTTATCCCTCAAGTTCCCGTTATTACACTTTGCTTTTACAGAAGACCTACATTAGTATGGTAATGGCTTTTTTCATAAAAGTGAAAAATCCTCTTCAGATTGCCTTCAGTTAGCAAAAAAACGACTAATACAGAATTGTAATCTACTGAGGAGCTGGTTTAACAAGACATAAGACCCAGATAATGGAAACTATAACTGCTACTGAAAGGACATAAAATCAGCTGACTCTTATTTCTCAAGTGCCCTGAGGGATCACCTTTTATGTAAAGCCTGGGCTGACACTTTTTTCTTCTCTGCTGCTAGTAACATCCTAATATTATTATTCATGTTCTAGTATTTGTCATGCTATCATAACTGTCTGTTACTTTTCTGCCTCCCTACCAGGCAAGAAACTCCTTAAGGGGAGGGAGGAATTTTAACTCTACAAAGTTGTCAGATTTTTAAAGTTTCATTTCACTTATTTCCTGTCTATTGAGTTCCAGATATGAGCATTTTTCCAACGTTTCAAATTTGCTGCTCCCTCTGCTAGAAAACTATTCCTCTTTACCTGATTAATTTCTATACTTGCCCTTCAATTTTCAATTATGGTGTCACCTCCTCTGAAGAGTCTCCCCTGACGTACCAGCCAGACTTGGTTTGGTGTCTCTGCTATATATGTGTCCACGCATGTACATTTTTAATTATAACTGCTTGTTTCCTTGGGTATTAAATGGAATGATGTATCTTCAGTACCTGGCACATAGAGAAGACGTTCAATAGGCAGCAATGGATATTATTATAATCTTATCCCCAAATCTCCCACATACATACAAAAAACACCTTTCTCTTCTCCCAGAACTATGCCTTTCATGTGATCCCTTTCACATGTCCTGGGTGTCTAGATTTTAATCTGTCTTGTTTCCTCCCCACACCTTCTCAAAGAAATACTCAATTGACTTTTTTTTATATTGTCTTCAGCACCTGTTATTCCTAGGTGGTTTCTCATCCAAGTACTAACCAGGCCCAACCCTGCTTAGCTCCCAAGATCAGACGGGATCAGGCGTGTTCAGGGTGGTATGGCCGTAGACTCTGTTGACTTTTACCTATTCCCCTGAAATACACATATTTCCATCTAGCTCATACTTAACAGGTGACATAGCGGCCTGAAGAAATAGCAAAAAGAACAGATTAGAAATCCTAGTATTAGTCACAGGTCCGGCTCTGCCACTTCTTGGGAAGTCAGTGAACTTTTCTGAACTTCAAATTTCTTATCTATAAAATGAGGATAGTTGGGGACAGAAGGTTATCAAAACTTTTCCCCATTCTACTTGAGAATTTGAGCTTTAGTTAAATGCCTAACTCTTGCCTGGAAAACCTGATAAGGACAGGAACTATCTTTGTAGGCAACATGGCTTATTATGAAAATCAACCCTGACTAATCAATTACATTTAGACTGGGAAGAATTATAAGTAAAATGTAAATAAATACCTCAAGGGCACCATT